AGACAAGGTGGTCCTCTATCACCATACTATTCAACACAGTGCTGGAAGTTCTAGCCAACAGAATCAGGCAAGAGAAGGAAATAAAGGGCATCCAAATGGGGGCAGAGGATGTCAAACTCTCCCTCTTTGCTGATGATATGATCTTATACTTAGAGAACCTAAAGACTCAACCACAAGACTCCTGGAAGTCACCAAAAAATACAGTAATGTCTCAGGATATAAAATCAATGCCCATAAGTCATTAGCCTTTGTATATGCCAATAACAGCCAAGATGGGAGGCTAATTAAGGACACAACCCCCTTCAGCAAAGCGGCAAAGAAAATGAAATACCTAACAAAAGAGGTGAAGGACCTTTATAAAGAAAATTATGAAACCCAAAGAAAAGAAATACCAGAGGATATTAACAAATGGAAGAACATACCATGTTCATAGCTGGGAAGAATCATTTTAACATTGTTAAAATGTCTATACTTCCCAAAGAAATCTACAGATTCAATGCTATCCCTATTAAAATGCCAACATCATACTTTGAAGACTTATAAAAAATAATTCTTTGTTTTGTATGGAACCAGAAAAAAACACCTGTATAGCAAAGGCAGTTCTTACTAATAAAACAAAGCTGGGGCATCAGCATACCAGACCTTAGGCTGTACTACAAGGCCAAAGTGGTCAAACAGCATGATACTGGCATACTGGCACAAAAATAGAGATATAGTCATTTGGAATCGAATAGAAAACCAGAAAATGAAACTAACATCTTACAGCTACCTAATCTTTGATAAACCCAAACAAGAACATACACTGGGGGAAAGACTCCCTATTCAATAAATGGTGCTGGGAGAACTGGATATCCACATGTAAAAGACTGAAACTGGACCCACATCTTTCTCCACTCACAAAAATTGCTTCAAGATGGATAAAGGACTTAAATTTAAGGCATGAAATGATAAAAATCATCAAAGAAAGCATAGAAAAACACTGGAAGATACTGGCCTGGGGAAAGACTTCATGAAGAAGACTGCTGCGGCAATTGCAACAACAACAAAAATAAACATATGGAACTTAATTAAACTGAAAAGCTTCTGTACAGCTAAGGAGACAACAACCAAAGCATCTAGACAACCTACACAATGGGAAAGGATATTTGCATATTTTGAATCAGACCAAAGCTTGATAACTAGGATCTATAGAGAACTCAAATTAATCCACATGAAAAAAGCCAACAATTCATATTTTGATGGGCATGAGAGATGAATAGAACCTTCTCCAAAGAAGACAGATGAATGGCTAACAAACATGAAAAAATGCTCATCATCCCTAATTATTAGAGAAATGCACATCAAAACCATCCTGAGATATCATCTAACCCCAGCGAGCATGGCCCACATCACAAAGTCTCAAAACTACAGATGCTGGTGTGGATATGGAGAGAAGAGAACACTTTTACACTGCTGGTAGGACTGCAAACTAATACAACCTTTTTTGGAAGGAAGTATGGAGAACCCTCAAAGAACTCAAGCTATACTTCCCATTTGATCCTGCAATCCCATTACTGGGCATCTACCCAGAAGGAAAAAAATCCTTTTATCATAAGGACACTTGCACTAAACTGTTTATCACAGCTCAATTTACAATCGCCAAAATATGGAAACAGCCTAAATGTTCACCAACCCAGGAATGGATTAACAAGCTATGCTATATGTATACCATGGAATACTATTCAGCCGTTAAAATGATGGAGACTTTACATGGATGGATGGATGTGGAACACATTCTTAGTAAAGCATTACAAGAATGGAGAAACAAGAATCTTATGTAGTTAATTCTCATATAAGGACAGTTGATGACCTAGTACACGATGGGGGGTAGGGGAAGGGGAGAGCAGAGAGTGGGAAGGGGGGGGAAGGGAAGAACAGAGAGAAGGAAGAAGGGAGGGGTGGGGGTGAGTGACATTCATGACACACCTTTTGGGGACCGGATACAATTATAAGAGGGACTTTACCTAACAAATGCAATCAATGTAACCTGGTTCTTTGTACCCTCCATGAATCCCCAACAATAAAAAAAAAAAAAAAATTCAGAAAACTGTAATTAAAGGCCATTCTTAACCACTTTCTTGAGAAAGTTTCCATGCTCTCTCACTGCTGGAGTCTGTTCAAGTTGGAGAACTTCTGGAGAAGGTGGAAAGAGGATGAAGCCAGGGGGTGTGACGTCCTTCAATTGGACAGATAAGGTGGTGGAGTAATTCATGAACAGGCATAATGGTATTAAGAAACCTGTTTTAAAGCCCATCTGCTCTCAGAAGCATTTGTGATAGCTTACAATAAGCAGAGAAACAACACAAGAATAGAAAACTCAAAGGGAGCAGAAACATTGATTTAATCACCCAGGTATGTGTCTTCACATGATCTGGGTCATCCCAAAGGAAGGTTTTACCTTTATCTTCATTTACAGCTGAGACATTGGCTGAGTGGGTTTGAGCAAGTTGCCGAGGTGCCGGGGCATGTAAGCAGAGAAGCCTGGATTTAAAACCCAGGGGACAGATTATATCAGAAACAAAGGCTGGGCAAGTACAAGCAGTTAAGTACAATACTTTGAGCTGAGCTTCCTGGCAATCAAATCAACAATAGGAAGGGAAAGGTTTACACTCATTTTCTTCCCAGAAAATAATAATTAAAAAAGATAAACACTAGTAGAGCAAGAGACTCAAACTTTTTTCCTCGTTCTTAATTTTTTTTTTTTTTTGAGACAGAGTCTCACTATGTCACCCTGGGTAGAGTGCCGTAGCATCACAGCTCACAGCAATTCTCTTGCCTCAGCATCCCAAGTAGCGGGGACTACAGGCGCCTACCACAATGCCTGGCTATTTTGTTGTTGTAGTTGTCATTGCTGTTTGGCAAGCCTGGGCTGGGTTCAAATCCGCCAGCCCCAGTGTATGTGGCCAGCACCCTAGCTGCTGAGCTATAGGCACCGAACCCCTGGTTCTTAGTCTCAGAGCACTTTATTGCCTAGGTCTTTAGACGGCACATACAGGGCAGAATAATGGATGGAAGCAAGACAGTAATGTTTCCCCAATGACACCATTTATGAGATTCTGATGAGAAATGAGAGCCAAATGCAAGCAGCGGATCTCTACAGACTTGTCTGGGGGACTGAAGGAGTACAGCCCAAGTCCCTATGACCTACCCACCTCGCTCCTACTTTGGCCTGAGCACTGTGGCTGGTGTGTGGGGAATGGGGTAAGGGGGCAGGAGTGGATGTGGGAGGCAGTCACTGGGACATAGAGCACTTACTTCGAGCGGTATATCCACAAGAAAGAGCCTTCTGAGCTAAAAGCAAATAAGAAATAAAAACATATCATGTTACTTTTAATTCTGAGAAAGGCTATTTTTTTTTTTAACCATTATCCTTGAGCCCCAGGCAGAGAGCCTGGGTTTTAGTTACTTCCAGGTTTTCACCTTCCTTTGAGACATAACCAATGATGGCAGAAGACTGGGGAATTCCACTTGCAGAAACTTCAGAATATCAAGGAGATAGGAGTCTCTGGAGGATCTCAAATTGTGATTTTTTTTTTTTTAAAAGAAGGCAATTCCCTGTTGCACAAGGTGGCATCCCTGAGAGAGGTTCCATAGATGGGTCCTCTTTTGCCACCTACTGAGGTGCCTGGTGATGAAGGAGGCCCTGGAGGATAGAGACATCATCCTCTAGCAATCCCTCACCCAGGATTTTCCTGGGAAAATAAGGCCTCAATTGCAGAGCCTAATGCCACACCTGACTCAGAGCCTTCTACAGAGCAGAAGGCATTGTTTTGACTAAGGAAGGCAGTAGGATTTCCTTAAAGCACCAGAAAGTGCTGCCACCCAGTACTCAGAACCCCACCTGGCACGTAGGGCATGAATTTGCAGATCCAGGTTTACCAATCCCTTCTCCTCCCCCCTCCCTTCCTAGAACCCTTCACCATTGTGATGGTCACAGCAATAGCCACACTGCAGTGGCATTTTAACATGCATTCATCCTTCAAAAGGCACAGTTCAAATGCACCCTCCTGTGCCCTGCCTGATATGATTCTATGCCTGGCATAGTAGGTGCTCAATAAATATTTAAGAATAAGTGCAAAAAAAAAAAAAAAAAAAGGATTCCTCTCCAAGCCAAATATAGTCTCTGCCTCCTTGAACTCTCTCAGCCCTCTTCTCTACCTCTGATACCCTTTATCTACCTTTACCCTGGGTTATTTGCACACACACCCTATCACGCCCTATGCCCCTTCTAGATCATAACACCTTCAGAAGAAGAGTTCTATTTAGCTCACTTTGTATCCCTCAGAGCACTCAGTTCAAGGAGATGAGGACAATGATTCAGAAGATCTAAGTTCTAATCAGAACACAGACATATTTACTATTAAGTCACTCATCTATTCAGTCTCCATTTTGTCACTTAAAAAAAATGACAGTCTTTGACTAAAGGAAAGGTTACATAGTGGGTCAGAGAATGAGCTGCGGTCAGATGGCCAGGGACCTAAATCTTCCTGAAAATAAGAGCTTGAGCATTAATGCTCAACATTTCTGAGACTCTGCCATGTTTTTATCAAGAAACTTGGATAATGCCCACTTGGCAGGGCTAACATAAGAATTGGAAGTCATGCAGATCATAGGTTCTGGCACTCGCAAACACTTACTAACCAGCAACTACTATCTTCATAATCGCCATTATTATTTCAATTACAACTTCTAAGGTTTCCTCTAGCTCTAACACTCTGAGATTTGCTTTTAGTCCAGCTTCAAATCAAATGCTGTCCTGGATGACATTCTTTTAAGGTGCTTCACTGACATCATTCTATTTACTAAAAGTTGACATGTTTGATGTAGTTATTTTTAAATCCCTTTTATCTCAGTGCTGCCCACCTGTCTAAGGTCAGTATCCTCAGCTCACCTCAAGCCATCATATGGCCAGATCATAAAGTGGTAAAAGCACTCCCTTTGAAGCCTCCTGCAGATGTTCAAGTGGATTCCACACGTTAGAGAAGAATGTGGCCGGAGTCTGGGTGCCAGACTTTGTCCTGAAGAGCAGCCAGAACCTGCCCTGGCCACTGCACAGAGAAAGTATGCCCAGCACTGAAAAACAATCTTCTTTCCTGGTGGCCAGTGCCAAAACGCACATTTGGGCCTATGGCTCCCATAGTTTAATTTTATGAACCTCTCAAATTAGCAAAGCACAGCTCTGGCTACAATTCAAAACATCAAAGTTATCCAATCATGTGTTCAGAGTTGGAGCTTGAAGTTTATCCAAATAAGCATTCTGACTACCCAGGATCCTTGAAGGGCATTTGTTCTTCTGGGGGTTGGAGTTTTTCAACTGCTAGAGATCTTCCTTCTACTCGTCAAAATCCTCTGTGCTGTCCTCTGGAGCAAATGATGATGGTGCTGGTGGTGATGATGATGATGACTCTTACGGAGTGAATATTTGTATCCCCCCAAATTCATATGTTGAAGCCCTGCTCCCACTTCATATGCTGAAGTGTGATAGTATTTGGAGCTGGGGCCTTTGAGAGGTAATCAGGTTTAGATGAGATCATGAGGGTGGGATGTCCCTGATGGAAGTAGTATCCCTTAAGAAGAGGAAGAGACCATAGCTCACTCTCCTTCCGTCATGTGTGGATGCAGGGAGGAGGTTGCCACCTGCCATCCAGGAAGAACCCTTGCTGGGGAACTGAATGGGCTAGCACTTTGATCTTGGACTCCCTTGCCTCTATGTGAGAAATAAACTCCTGTTGCTTAAGCCACGGAGTATGTGGCATTTTGTGATAGCAGCCTGAACTGATTACAATAATGGTGACAATTAAAATTTACTGACTGCTTATTAATTCTATTGCTCCAAATGCTTTATACAAGAATTTATTTAATCCTACCAACAATCCTATGAGGCAGGCATTATTATTATTATCCCCATTTTTAAAGAGAGGGAAACTAAAGAACAGAGTGGCTGGGTAACTTGCCCAAGGTCACAGAGGAAGTAAGTGGCAGCCCAGCTCTAGAGTGTGGTCAGGGTATGTCCTCAGCCCTCAAGTGCCTATGGAAGCCCTGGGGCCTCCACCACTGAAACACTTCACCATGAAAATATGAATGGTGTTGAGATGGCTGTGTACAATTCAATTGTACGGTAGTCTTTTTGAACCTGAGAGCTAAGCTTTTGCAGTGTCCCTTGAGTTGAAGCCATCATACATTCCTGTAGCTGCTTGTGGAGACTTCTTTCTGTCAGAAGCCTCTCCCAGCTGGAATCTCCAAGGCATTGTAATTTCAAAAAACACAGAGGCAGCTCAGATATTTGGGATAAAGCCACAGATGAATTTCAAAACTCAGAAATCTTTAATATATTTTGTTTCCCAGAGTTTTTAAAAAATAACACCCAAAAGTTTTAGCCAGGCACAAGTGAATCACCAGCAAATCAGCGTATATTTTGCAACAAAAGTCAACAACTTGATTGCTCCTTTAAACTCTGCAAATATTTTAGGACTGCAAAATTTAGGGTGGACTGCTCATGAAATTCCTGTCCACAAATGTCTTAAGGTAATTCTGCATCTGTTTATACAAATTATTTAAAAGTACATTTTGGAAAAAAAATGAAATAAAGTGAAATTACATTTTGGGCTTAATTTGACCTCATTCTATCTGACTCTAGCCTACCAGTACGTTAGGAACACAGCAGAAAGGAAGATAACTAGCCAAAAGTTATTATATAGGGGAGCTCTAATGATTTTAAAGACAGTCTAGGGCTCAAGGATTGGGAAGGGTAGAATTCTTTATTTATGGTTTGAATTAATCCTAATTTTAACTCAGACTGGTGACTTGGCTGATACCAATAGAACGGGGTCGAAACCGTACTTTCATCAATATCATTTCATCATGTTTCATAATTACCTGTTGATATATTCCCAAAACACAACAATCACAGTTGAGGCAACCAGCATTGAGAGAATTACTTTTCCTTTGACATTCATTATTTTCTCCTAGGAAAAAAGAAAAGAGGAAAAAGCAGGTTACATAAATGAAATCTAGAGCAAGATATGGTCATAAAGAAATACTTCTGCCCATATTCTGTCTAAAGGGATACACTTAGGAATATTGAACTAGAGGGGAGGAATGTATTCTACCTTAAATTGCATAGGCCTTGCAGGGGCAAGTCAGACCAATCCATTAACACAGGAGGCCGCCTGTGTTGGGAACGCTGCTAAGGCCACACTGGGGCTCAGAGGGAAAGTGTCCAGATCCACCATGGGTGGAGGAGGGCGAGGGAGTTGCCTCCTTCGTCAGATACCCCACCTTTTGGCACATGGCTGTGAGGAGCCACTCTCTTCCCTGGCTCCATGTCCTCGGTGTGCTAACTACACCCAGTTTAGTGGAGATGACTAGTAGGCAAGTGGACATTTAAGTCTGGAGTTCAAAAGAGAGACGTGGGCTAGAGACATGTAATAGGAAGAGTTGTCCACATTTGAAAGGAAATGAATGAGGTTACCAGGGAAAGAAAGGAGAGAGAGAAAAAGGAAATAAGGCGGCCCTGGGCTGAAGCCTGAAAATGCTGACATTGAGAGCTAGAACAGAGGAGGAGATGAGGGGAAGAGGCCCAGGAGGTAGGGGGAAAACCAAGAGTGAGGACATCTGGAAGCTAAGAGGAATCAGTGGCCAGCCATGCACCAAATGTTGCTGCTTTTATAAAGCTACCTCCCACCCCCAGCCAGCCAGTAGCTGAGTCTCCCTTCTTTCCTTGGGCTCCTCTATCACTCTAGTCACATTGCTACACACGTTGACTTTGGAGATGGCTCATACAGTAACATCCCACATGGCCTTGTCTCCTGTACCAGTTAGTCCGTGAGCTTCCCGGAGGCAGGAGCCATGCCTTTTTACTCAACCTTGAAACCCTACTTCCTCACATAGGACAGACAGGGTCCTCAATAAAAGTTCGGTGAATGCATGAAATCAAATGAGATGGACACTAAAATGTGTCCCTTCTGGAAACAGGAAACTTTCCAATTCTTTTCAAAAGATTTCTTAGATGATTCCAGTCTCAGATCTTGTGTACTCCATCACCTTTAATATTAAATTCAGATAAAGAACAGAAAGAACAGAATTTTCAGCCAAAGCACTCTATTCCTTCTTGCGTAGAAAATAAGCTTGTTTAAAAACAAAAAGGCCAGGGCTGAACTCAATATTACAACCCAACCTCACGCTCTCATACAGCTCTGATGGGGAATGTACAAGAGACCTCCAAGAAGATGGACCTGCAGGGCCCCAGCCTCTGGCTCAGGCTTCTTCCCTATAAACCATGTGAGCTGCCTACTACAGCCCAGGGGCCCAGGAGCCACTGCAAACTCCAAAAATGCAGATGGCTATAGGCAACTCAGCCTCACTGCTGGAAAAAGTCACTAGAAGTCTGCATCAGTGGCTCCAGCATTGAGTGCCAGTCCTCCACCTCCCTGTGCTAATGTCTTCACTGCCAGAGGAATGTGGATAGCGGTGAGCCAGGGGCCTTGGAGTGAGGTTAAGAGATTACAGTCTCAACTTTGACACACAGATCTGAGGAACCCTGGGCAATGGTCTCATCATAACTCCAAAGAGTTTGGAAAACGAACACCTTTTTTTTCTTTTTTTTTAAGGTCTCTCTCTGTCACCCAGGCTGGAATGCAGTGACTCACTGTAACTACAAACTCTTGGGTTCAAAAGATCTCCCACCCCAGCCACCCAAGTAGCTGAGACTACAGGTACATGCCACTATTCCCAGCTAATTTTCATATATTTTGTAGAGATAGGGTCTCACCATGTTGCCCAGGCTAGTCTCAAACTCCTGGCCTCAAACAATCCTCCCACCTTGGCCTCCCAAAGTTCTGGGATTATAGGCATGAGCCAGCACACCTGGCCTCCAAACACTTTTTTGTCATTCAGTTGGCATCATGATCCTGACATGAGGCCAGCTATATGTACAATCTTTACCCCATTGTGTGAGACTGATTCTTTTTGTGGATATTGCTGTATTTTATTATGGGGTGCTGCTTCACTGGGGAAGCTGTGTAAACTACGATTAGAATCCACATCCAAACATTCTGACCCTAGAGTTTCAGATAAGAGATTGTGGAACCTCTACTGGATCTCATTAAGTTGATTACTTCATCTTTAAAATGGGATTAAAAATAGTGATGATTACAGAGATGATGTCCATGAAATACTTACTGCTGTTTCTGGCATAATATAAGTGCTCAAAAAAAAAAAAAAAACCTGCTAGTTCTTATCACTGGTATCCATAAAATAGGCTATTGGGATGATAGCACAGCACCTGGTACTTAGCAAGGGCTCAAAACAGATTTGAAGGAAAGGAAGGAGGGATTTGGAATATAAGAACATGTTATACAACCAAGTGCAAATAAATGCAAATGCGGCACTGACTCTATGGGTTTACCCATCTGTTCTGCGCCACAGCCTCACGAAGTCCTCCTCGGAAGTGGGATGTGACTTTGATTTTCTTTGATCAAGCCCCAGGCGCTGCCATAGCCCCTTCTGTACATTGAGCAGACAACTGTGCAGCTGGCTGAGCGTCCCCAGCGTTCCCAGCCCCACCTGCTGAGGAGCAAATGCAAATTGTCTCCCAGCAGGAGAACATGGGAGAAATGAAACTCGCATGGTGGAAAAACGTGAGCGTTTCCTGGCACTTAAGTCAGGGAAAAGCCCAAATCAGATACACTTCCTAATCCCCTCCCAGGAGATGCAGGTGTTTGATTTTCTTTTTTTTAATTTCAGAAATTAGCATCAGAGGCAAGTCGTAAACCCCATTTCTTTCTGGACTTTGTAGATGGCTTGAATCCGCCTGCGTTTTTGCTGTAGTCACTCTTGTTTGAGACTTACAATTGGAAGCCGTCCAAATGAGCCAATTCTGCATCATTTAGCAAAGCACTGGGAGTGGGTGGAGAAGTGATTCCTGGAATCTGGAATCCAAGTCTCCAGGGAAGTAGGGGTTGGCAGGGTGGCCAACAGGTCTTTTAAAACACTTTTGTTTTTCTCTCTAGATAAAAACTGAGGCATTTGGCAACAATGTGGTCTAAAAGTGCTTCTCTTATGTCTTTGTTTCAGAAGTTTTAAAACTTTTTTAAATTCAGAAGATGAGTGGTTGACTGTCTTATCCACCAATAAGAAATGTGGATGTATCCCCATCAAAGCACCAACGACAACTCTGAAGAACTTAAAAAAATAGTACTTTGTTTCACATGGAACCAGGAAAAAAAACGAAATAGCCAGTGCAATTCTAAGAAATAAAAACAAATCTGAAGGCATCACGTTATCAGACTTCAGGTTATGCTACGAGCCTATAGTGATCAAAACAGCATGGTACTGACACAAAAATAGAAATCTAGATCTATGGAACAGAATAGAGAATCTAGAGATGAAACCATCTGCATATCACCATCTGATCTTCAATAAGCCAAACAAAAGCATACACTGGGAAAAGAATCCCTCTTGAATAAATAGTGCTGGGAGAACTGGTTAGTCACATGTAGAAGACTGAAACTGGACCGGCACCACTCAACACTTACAAAAATTGACTCCTGCTGGATAAAAGACTTAAATTTAAGACATAAAATGATAAAAATTTTAGAAGAAAATGTGGGGGAAACTCTTGATGATGCCTGGGAAAAGATTTTATGAAGGAGATCCCTTTGGCAATTGCAGCAATACCAAAAATAAATAAATGGGACATGATCAAGCTAAAAAGCTCCTGCACAGCTAAGGGTACAACAACTAAAGCAACAGACAACCTTCAGAACAGAAGATATTTGCCTGCTACAAATCCCACAAAGGGCTGATAATTAGAATCTACAGAGAACTCAAACTAATCAACAAGAGCAAACAATCCCATCTATCACTGGGCAACAGATAGGAACAGAGCCTTCTCCCAAGAAGACAGACCAACAGTCAACGAACACATGAAAATATGCTCATCATCCCTAATCATAGAGAAATACAAATCAATGTGGAAATATCACCTAACCCCAGCCCGCATCACAAAGTCCCAAAGCTGCAAATGCTGGCGTGGATGTGGAGAGAAGGGAACTTTTACACTGTTGGTGGAACTGCAAACTAATATAGCCTCTTTGGAAAGAAGTATGGAGA